AAAATTTTTATCTCGCACATGCATAGAGAATATCCCTGCAAAGTTTCAGCTTTCTACGTTGCCTGGCCCGCGAAATCGTTTCCCGCCAACAAATTTCTTTGGGGGTCCCATACGTGGGGTCTAGACGCGTATGGGGGAAGATATTAAAACAGGAAGATGACACACGGTTTAGAAACATATATCCAAAATTTCAGCCTCCCAGCTTTCCTGGTTGCTGAAATGAAAGTGGGTAACAAAATGAACTCGCTTTCCGAACAGACACACACAGACAAATCTCGACAATATGCGTTTTTGCTGGCTGTAGCAGCGTTATAGAGCTGCACAGCAAAAACGCATATTGACAAGAGGTTGTTTGTGTGTAGGTATCTGTGTGTGTGTGTGTCTGTACTCGTCTGTATCGATTTTTTTACTTTTTTGCTTATATGTAAATGCAAAAACGCATATTTTGACGACTCCGGTGCGTGTGTGTGTCTGTCTGTCTGTCCGGATATTTTAACTCGACACCCAAGCAAACTCCGGCGCCAAAATTTTGCCAGTGGCTTCCCCGACCGACTGCCACTCAGGACCGCGATACCAACCCTCACGCAAATCTGGGCCTCGCGTATGAGAGGGTGAAAATTTTGGCGGGAAAATTGCTAACTCGGGAACAAGAAAAGATAGAAGGCTGAAATTTTGAGGTTATGTTTCCTGTCCAAATATAAGTCAAAGATTTCAAATTCTGCGTGGTTCACGAAGATTTCAAATTCTGCGTTGTACAGCCCCTGAGGGTTCCTGACGCGAAAGTGGCTAACTCAAGGACCGGGAGAGCTGGGGAAATAAAATTTCCAGAAAATATTCCCAGCACAAGTACAACTTAAAATTATCAAATTCAGCCTCTAATTTTGCGTGATATTCATGTGACGCTCCGTGAAAATTTTTGGCGCTGAGATGGCTAACTCAGGAAGTAGGAAAGCTAGGAGGCTGAAATTTTCAGGGAATGTTTCCAGCCCGGGCATTCGTTGTTGTGAAATACGGTCCCGTGAAAATTTTTGGCAGGAAAATTGTTAACTCAGCAATCAAAAAAATCGGAATGCTGAAATTTCAACGGGATTTTTCTTGTCAAAATACTGCGTAAACTATTAACTTTCAGGACTTCGAGGATCAGTATATCATACATTTGTCTACTGGGTTTCCGAGCGATCTCATTACAGCACGAAATACTGCAAAAACGCATGATCACACGGGCCCACCCGGTGCGCGTCGCCAATCATTCATCTCGAGACCCACAAAAGCTACAGGGCTGAAACTTTGGTAACTTAATCAACATGTGTGTACAGGCTGCCATCTCCAAATTGGGCGCTCTTACTCGCGTTGTACCTACGTATGGCCTCGCCAAATTTTTTCCGGGTAAATTGCCAATTCGAGAATCTGAAAAGCCAGAAGACTGGAATTTTAAGGGGATGTTCCCCGTCCAAGTAGGAATTAACAAATTCAAACCCAGCTCCCGCTATGCGTGGTTCTCACGTACGGGCCTGTGAAAGTTCTTTCGGGTAAGTTGCTAACTCAGAAACCAGGAAAGCTAAGAAGCTGAGATTTTAAAGGGATGTTTTCAGACAGCCCTGGTGGCCAATCTTACTTTTCTTAGCTAGAAGCATTTGCTGGAAAAAGCGGTGCCGGTAGCGACAAAAATCTGCGGGGAACTATACAAAAAACGCGTCTTCGCACCGGCAGTCGGTGCCCTGGCCATTTATCATTATTAATGTAAAGATGCTAACTGGAGCAGAAGAGTTCTGCTTTTGCAACTTCCAACAAAAAACCCACGCTGGAACGCACCAGGAGGGCCTGTGGGATCATGCATTTTTGCACCGAACTTGAAGTACTCAGAACATTAACTGCATGAAGGCTGTTGCTTTACACCTACCTTTTGCGGTAACTAGCATAAATCACCATAAATTTTGCAGAATAAGTGTAAAATTTCCACTTAACAGTCGTTCATTAAAATTAACCTAGTTGTTTTGTGAGAAATTTTTTCGCCAAGATTTCTAAGTGCCCGTACGTAAGAACTACGCATACCTCAAGGCTGAATTTGAAATAATTAAGTTGTACTTGGACAGGAAACATCCCCTCAAAATTTCAGCTTTCCTGGCTGCCGAGTTAGCAATTTTCCTGCCAAAATTTTTCACATACCCGTGTGTGGATGCTTCAGGTGCCTGGAAAACTGAATTTGAAATTTTTAAATTGCACGTGGACAGGGAATATCCCCTTAAAATTTCAGCCTTCCAGCTCTTCTGATTACCGAGTTAGTAATTTTCCTGCGGAAACTTTCATACACCCTTACGTGAGTAATACGCATAGCTTGGGGCTGAATTTGAAATATTTGAGTTGTGTTTGGATAGGGAACATTCCCCTAAAATTTCAGCTTTCTAGCTCACCTGGTACCCGAGTCAGCAATTTTCCCTCCAAAACTTTCATGCTCCCTTACGTGAGTGCCATGCACACCTGGGGGCTGAATTTGAAATTTTCAGCTAGTAAATGCACAGGGAATATTTT